ACCCGGGTCGAGGAGATGGAAGGTGAGCAAAGAGCCACTGCAATAACCCGACTTTTGCTATCATTTTGAATCACTCATGAAGCTTCCTGAAAATCATCCCCTAGCTAACCAGAACATGTTTATTTCTTGCAGTCAAATTTGTGTATTTCGAACGTCATTGTTGATGAGTTGGCCGTTCCATGGAGCTTGAGCCCCCCCCCTCTTCTCGAGCACAAGTCCAGAAGGGTTGAGCACAATGCAACCTGACTAGCACAGAAGCAAAAAGAGGTTACAACAAGCAAGATGAATAGGAGTTTAGGTACAGGATTTCTTGTGAGCGTAGTGGCCTCTACATTATTTGCTTATCGCTCTCAGTATATATAAGGGGTATTGCAACATACCTGTGTACAAAAATTGTTTATTTCTATGGAGTGAATTTTTATATGTGGCCTTTGACAGAAGTGGCAAGTTTCTTTTGCCGTCCAGTGTATAGAGATTTAGATATATATACTTCACTTCTAGGTTATCTATCATATACTGCTACTGCCACCTTGTCTTAATATCAACAAATGGAAGCTAAAATGATTTTGTCCAAAAGCTGCCAACAAATCCGGTTAACTGTTATGGCTTACAAGAGGATCTCGGTTACATATGAAATAATAAGACTAATTCGATAGGCCTATTACAGAGTTTTCAGACAGTTTCCCTGAAAACATATTAAAGTCAGTATGCCTTCATATGAAAAGTGTACCGGTAGTTGATAGGTTTGGTTTATATTTTGCGTCCCTTAAAGACACGTTGGCTTCTCACTTCTAACTGTTTTCAACTCAGCGCAAGTGCTGTGTGACAATTCAAATATCGAAGCTTATCTTGCCAAAGAGTGTTCATGTGTATTATTAAACGATGATGAAGCCTGACTTTGGTTTGTCATACGGCCTATCCAGAGGCCCACTGCCAAATGCAGTCTGAGGGTGGACACCTAATCGGGATGTCCTCACGGCGTCCGGTGATTTCACCGTCGGTGCCGCAAGTCACCCATGGACGACGCTTGCTGCAGAGGTCTGATCAACGGCGTTATCAGGAAATGGTCATCAACAGCCCAGCGGCTCTGTGTCTGGAGAACAGAATATATTTATGGAGGAAAATCCAGTCCACAGAACTACAATCGTGTTTGACCGAAACAGGTAATTTGCCGTCAAATTCTAACAACACGCTCTTTTCCATCATTGAGTTCTTTCATGAGCTTTGTCTATTTCAGGTGGGATTGGTTTTGACGCAGTGGGTGGTATCTCGTCCAATAACTTTTCTTCAGTGTGAGGAATCAGCAAGCACGAACCTAACAACGCAGCACAGAAACTATGTTGGCAAAGCGGTAAAGCTGCAGGTTGCGGGTTCCAATCCAGCCTGGGATCATGATGCGTGTGCCCTATGCAAGGCACCTTGTCACTCATTGCTTCTCCCCACCCAGGTATAATTGGGTACTTGTGAGGGCAGAGATGGTTATTGTGGTTGATCAAGTTGCTTTGCGCCGAAATGGCTCCATCAAGCTGTATACTTCCCGTTGAACTGAGATGATATCAAGAATATGTCATGGGCCCAATGAGCAGGGTTAATAATACTGGACAGTGCTTTGATCTTAATGAAAAGCGCTATATAGGAACCCCGTTTAAATGAGTCATTATTGTACAATGTGGCCAAGATGCTTCTACATTTTGAGAGGGTTTCAAACACAAAGAAAGAATTAGTAAATTCAAATTAATGATATATACAGTACAACTGTATTGGTCCTCCTGTCTTCAGTATTCTCTGCTTTCCGATGATGTGTCTGTACTCCAACCCATCGTGCTCATCTGGAAGGGTGGGATGATTGGATTGTGCCTGTGGTGGCTACCGTAAGCCCAGCATAGAGACCACATGGTGCGTGGCCGGTGCTGCGTCAGAGCGGGTCGGTTCGTTACCACGCTAACGCTGCCAGCTCGGAACATAGGTATGCCAGCATGTGTGTTTGGGCAGTCTCGCCTGTTCGTTCTCTTCCTCGAACGGACGACACAAAGTATGATGCCAAAAATACCGACGAGAAGAGCACCAACGACAGCTGATATTGCTAAAGGGGTATTACTGCAAGGTGTGGGAGCAGGGTCGTTCAACATGAGAGAGGGCGTAGTTTTGTATGAATAAGGAAATAAAGTCATAGTTGAAGATTGGCTTCCGTTCCCGTCATCGGACGCCGGGTTCGGTGGCTCAAAGAGCACTTTCTGTTGACACCAGGATAGGCCGGACTTCGTTGGCGACAGGTGAAGATTGAGTTGCGATAGGAACTCCCCAGAGTGTTGAGATGCAGAGTGTTCTCAACTTGATCCCCGACGACGACTGTGGCGTTGGAGAGT